TTTGTCAGAGTATTTGCTGACATTTTAGTCCCATTAGGAATATCATTTAATATTAGTTAAGCCTTATTGTGATTATAGTATTCTTTAGAGTGAAACTATGGGACAGCAATATTTTGGGAAGGGGAAAAAAATAACCTGCCACTTATTAAATTGAAATTTTAAAAGCCAAGGAGAGGGCAGGGGGAGGGAGTTTCATAAACTCAGGTGACCTTTAAATGTCACATCCAACTTATATATAAATGTAAACATTGAAAAATGTAATGTCTAGTAATAACAGTAAACTGATAAATGTAATTATGGTACAGGTTCTATATTATAAATTATGCTTCAGCCTAGAATATCAATAATTTTTAACACCTTTTAAAATCAAATTACAATGCATTAAATATCCTCCAGCTAATTTCCATATCTTATTGACAAGCTTGTAGCTTTCACATCTTCTTGAAAAGCTTCATGTTCTAAACTTCAAATATTCAAAATTAAAGGGTGGACAGTGGAGCTCCCCAATTAAAATAAGCTTGGAAGCAAGAGTGGCATCCACTTCCCAAACAGCTTGCCTCCAGAAACTCTATGAACTTGGAGAAATACTGAAAGTTATACAAGTGTCCAGGTCTTTTGTTCATAGGGTCACTATGACTACACTATCACTACAACTCAAAGGCACCTAACAACACTTAACAACACTTGGTGTAGTGTGTAGAAAGTTATACTACCAAGCCAAAGGTGGGTGATTTTAATCTGCACCCCTCAGGTCTGGTTTTTATTGTTTTTGGTCAAACATTCTTCTAAGTGGTATAACATTTGTCTGTAAATTTGCCATACAGAGGTCATGGCTGCTGTGATACTAAACACTGTGACACTGATGTATCAAATGCAATAATGGTTACCCATGGTGGACAGTGTTTGGTGGAGTTCTCTGATTAAAACAAGCTTGAAAGCAGGAATGGCATCCACTTCCGAAATACCTTGCCTCCAGAAACTCTATGAGCTTGGAGAAATGATGAAAGTTATACAAGTGTTCAGATCTTTCATTCATAGGATCACTATGAGTCATCTATGATTCAACAGCACTTAACAACAACAATAATTTTTTATTTTATTTTCACTTATTAACTATCTCAGTAAGGTAATCCTTCAACAAAAACAAGTTTTTGAAAGCAGGGTTGTTATTATTATGAACACTAGCACACTTTTAAAAGTTCATGAAATATGATTTCAAAGACAATTGGCTACTAGTGGCACTCATTGCTTTTAACTGGTATTTAGAATAATATTATAATCATACTATTGTAGCAATGGCAAAAAGCATGTTGAGATGGAATCTCATAAAGTTTTATTGGTTACTTTCATTTTTTTCCCCCAATCCTCTGTCTCAATTCTGTAAGTAAAAAGTTCCATTTGGGGGACTTTGGTGAAGTAGATTAATTATTCAATGTGGTTTACCCAATCAAAGGCTTTGATTCTCATCAGTTAGCTGAGTTGTCGTTGTTGTTATATGCTGTCAAGTCTCCAGTGGATTTTTAGAGGTTAGAAACCACATGAGAGAAGACTGCTCATCGTTCTCCTTAAGAGCAACTGAGATTCAAATCACCTACAACTGAGTTGGCAGCACAGCTCTCCCCACCAGCCCAGCAGAGCTTGCTACATACCATCCACCTGGCTAGCACAACATTATTCCTACAGTAAGTCTGTCCATATTGTCAACATTGTGGTGTTGGATTAGATTACTGAATACCCCACAGACTGCTAAAAGAACAACCAGATATGTCCTGGAAAGGTGCAACCAGGGCATTCCTTGGAGGCAAAGATGACAAAACTATATCTCACATTCTTTGAGCATGTTTCTAGGAGAGGCTATTAATTGGAGAGGGACATAATGCTTGGGAACGTAGAAGGATGGCAAAAGAGGAAGACCCTCAACTAGGTGGACTGACAGTGACAGCTGCAGTGGGCTCAGGTGTGTCACAGCCTGTGATGATGGCACAGGACAGGAGAAAGTTCAGATCTATTTTCATAGGGTCGCTATGACCTGTACTACACTCAACAGCATCTAACAACAACAATATTGTCAATGAGGTAAATAGCACCTTTTCAGTGAGAACATGCAAATAAGACCTAGAGATTATTGTCATCTTGCCAAGCATAAATTAAGCAGGTTTAGTGGGAGTTCTGGTAGCCTAGTACTAAGAAGTTACATTTTAATCTCAAAGGCACAGAGTTCAAATCCACCAGCTGCTGTACCTGATAAGGATGGTATGGTGGGCAATTTCCTCTTGTGTACATTATTGGCTCTGAAAATCTCCTGGAGGGTCGTACAACAACATATAACAACAACAGTGGCAAAAAAATCAGAAATCTTGTTAGATAGAGAAATAAGCAACAGAAGGTATATTGCCCGCTTTGAGTGAAAGATCCCCGCACTAGACAGGAAACCAAACCAGCAGTAGCAGAGGTAGCAGAGAACTAGAAAGTCACATGACACAGGGCTGAATTGGTGCCCCGTAGAACTCTGGACGGTCACCCACACTTACTGAGGGTTTAAGTGTGGCTTACTTCATTATGGCTGAAGGAGATGCCATAATTGGCAGGAGTCAAGAGCTTTGAGGGAGCTCTGGAGGCCTGGCAGGTAAGGAGTTTCACTGCCAACCCAAAGGCATGAAATTTGACTCCCTCCATTGCTCTGGAGAAAGATGCGTAATCTCGTTCCGTGCAATTTACAGCCTCCGGAAATTCACTGGAGGGTCAGCTATGAGTCACTTCAGACTCCATAGCAATGAGAAAGAAAAAAAGAAAGACATTTGTAACACTTGCCTAAAAGCAAAGACAATGAATGTCAAAGGTCTTTGAGCACACCAGTCTCGAATGGAGAATCGAACACTTTTTACAACTTGACTTGTAACCTGTTAACTTCTTAATAAACTCCATAACTGTGAGTGTATGGATGGTGAGTTCTGTGTGGCCACTGTAGCAGATTAGCAGACCCAACAGTAGAGCAGGGAGACTCTCAGAAATGACGACTCGTGTTAGATTTGATAGAAGGTGCTGGGCATATCTGACCTCACAGGAATCAGATTCTGCACTGCAAATGTTATGGATAGGGATGCCTCCCCGCTGCAGAACTGGAGAGGTAAGACTCTGCCAATTGCCACATGTCAGCCACATTGATTATATACAGATTTTTCAGTGTATTCCCACTTTTGGTTGTTTAAGGCAACATAAACGTTGATCGACCTAATTTTTCCCCCCATATAGTAATTAGTAGAGGAGGCACCAAAGGACAAACACCTCATTTTACTATACTTTTTGCTATACTGACCTTCACAAATAACATGATTTTTACAAACTGAAGGCCTGTGGCAACATTGTGCCCAGAAAGTCTATTGATGCCTTTTTGTTTTCCAACAGCACGTGTTCACTTGACATCTCTGTGTTACCTTTTCACAATATTTCTCACAATATTTCAAACGTTTTTATAGTGGTATTTTGAAGACAATCAATTATAAAGGGAAAAATATAAAAATATTTTTTACCAAAAATACTCCAAACAAAAAAACACCCACTGCCTTCAAGTTGATCTCTGACTCATGACTTCCCATCAGATTTCCAAGGCTATAAATCTTTATGGGGAGGGCGAGCTCACGGTTCTAAGGAGTAACTAGGGGACGTGAACCGCAGGCCTTGTGGTTAACAGTGCAATATGCAATCGTATTATGCAAATGGAACTCCTTAGTATAATGGAAACAACTTTTATATCCACTGGGACACCTAAAATTTTGTGTGACTTGCTTTATTGCAATATTAGCTTTTTGTGTAGTTGTTCGGAGATGATCCTGCAGAATCCCCAAGGTACGCTTGCACTTTATTATATGGTGGACCCATCTACCTGGAAGAAAGAAAAACACTTTTTGCTTTTTATATCCTGGTTAACCTACAAGATAAGAAAAGAAATTCAAATGCTATCTTTCAGTCACTAGATCAGCCAATACACAACACCTATATTTTATACTTCAACAAAATATTAAAAGAACTCCTGGCCTTTAGAACAATTAAAAAAAAAGAGTTTGTGATTTGTCCTGGTTGGAGAGGACTTAAGCTTATTCAATTTAAGGAATTATGAAACAAAAATATGCTCATTCACCTTAAAGTTTCCATGGGGGACAGATTCAATGTAATACTCAAACACCTGACTGACTGTCCAGTTAGATCTTCCAAACATGCATCGTGTACTTAAAAAGAAAAAAAAAATCACCTTAGATTTTACTTATTCCTAACTTCAGGGACAGAGTTAGAGAGAGTCTTTCCTATTTCCATGGTTACCCAGGACCTGAGCCAGTCACACACACACACACAGCAACTGCTCAGAGGACATGAGGGTCTGAGCTGAAAGCACTCAAATGAAGACTGCTGCCCAGCAGGCAGCAGCCTCTCACACCTGGGGTCCTGTCTCAGTCACTAAAAAAGAGTTCACCAGGATAAAATCCCAAAAGGCTTAGTACTCATTTCCCCAAACTCTGTTACTTTCAACAACTTTCTAGCTCCAAGAAGTCGAAGTGGGCCGGGCCTTGATGGGTCAGAAATCACTTGAGATGAGCCATCCCAAAATGTCCCCTCACGCAACCCAGTTCCTGTGGGCCTCGGACTTCAGTGGGCAGTCCATGCCCCTGGGGAATCTGGTTCAACGCTGATTCTGAGTCAGTGAGCGTGGATTAGGCTCTCAGATCGCGCCTGTCTAATAAATCCCTCCAGGTGATTCCAATGTTGCAACTCTTACCACCCTTTGCCTAGCAGGGCCCTATGCAACAAACGCCCAGGGACCACAGAAGTCACTTAAGTTAGCACCACACAAAACTCTGGTCACAGGTGGTGACCAAGAAAGCCACCTAGGTGCTCTGCGTCTCCTGAGCGCGGCCACCCGGAGCTCTCGACACCTGGCAGGTGCCTGGAGCTGGGGGCGCTGGCAGGTGGCCTGCAGCCTCCGCGCCCCAGGGCGCAGCGCTCACCTTCTCCCGGGTCTTCAGGTAGCGCTGCAGCGCCTGCTGCGTGAGCTCCCCGACGCGCAGCTGGCCCTCCTTGCAGGGCACCACGATGCCCGTCCTGCCAAAGCACACGGTCACTTTCATCCTGACGCTCAGCGACCACGCCTGGGGGCCCCCCAGTCGAACAGGTGTCCAACCTCACACTCGGGGTGCAGCCCCCCACTGTCAGGGGGAGCACGGAGGCCCAAGGCACCTCCTCCCTGGCCGCTCCTGTGGACGGAGGGTTGGCGACAGCGCCGGCGGCCCCGGGGGCAAGAGGGCGGGAAGGTGGACGCGGGCGACCGCGGGAAGAGCTGCGTCCCAGGTGGCGGGCGGGCGGCCCAGGAC